CTCCTTTCAATCAGTGATCAGCAACAAACAGCCATCCAGCTGGGTAGTGGTGGAAACAGTGACATAGGCTGTTGACAGGAAGAGGGGAGGAAAAGGGAGACATATAGAGGTTTGGGGGTGTTTCATAGTCTGGTTGTTTTTCTCCCATTTGTGTTTTTTCAGGTGGATGGCTTATACCCTGGTGCTTCTCTCTGTTTCTTCACTTTTCTCCTCTGTAGATGTGTCTATTTCAAATATGTGTTTTGTGGTTACCATGGAAACTGTATTATCCTTTCTGTATTTTGGATACAGAAAAGTGTTTATCAGGGGAGCTGGCCCCCGTACATCATTTGACTAGATTGGTTCTATCTTTCGCTCCTCCTGTTATTTTCTGTTATTTTATGTTACTGCTGGTTCTGTTCCTACTACTATATTACTATTTAACCCCTTCCTCAGGGTTTTCGTGACATGTTTCTTTCCATGTACTAGAACTCCTGCCACCATTTACTATATAGCAGGTCTAGTGGTGGTAAGACAAGGTTTTTGTATGTCTGAAAAAGCAATTATTAGTAGAAGTTTGATGAAAAGTCTGTGGGAGCTATCTGAAAACTAGCAGCCTTCATTATTTTGTCTTTATTACTGGTGGGGCCAGTTTTTTGTTATTTGGTGGGGGCCCCCTAAACAATATGCAGGGAACCTTCAGTCCACTTCCAGCAATACTTGGCCAACCAGGTAGAATGATTCAAAACTAGGGCCTGGTCGAGCAATGCAGCCTGGGCCCAGTGATGCTGAAGGACTCCATGATCACAGTGCTGATGGCCCTCTGGGGTCCTCTGGGGCTATACCCACAGTGTTCAGGGAGACACGCCGTACCAGTAACTCAGGTTTTTTTGCATGCAAGATACGGTTCTTGAGCTATCTCTTTGCCCCCCATTTATCTACCTTTTTGTTTTGTTTGGGGGCCAGATTTGGCAATATTCAAGAATTACTCCTGGCTCATATTCAAGAATTACTCAGGAATCACTCCTGGCAAGTTCGGGGAACCAGAAGGGATGCTGGGGATTGAATTTGGGTCTGCAGCACACAGGGCAAGCGCCATAGCTGCTGTACTGTCTCTCTTATCCAATGGACCCTTTATCTCTGACTCTTGATAATTTAACAGTGGTGTATGTTGGTATGGATTGTCTTGCATTAAAAATATTGCGTGTTATCTTAGCTTCCTTAGATATCCATGGCTATATCTTTCCTTAGGTTTGGAAACGCCTCACTATTATTTCTTTGAATATGACCTCTGCCTACTTCTCTATCTCTGTTCACCTTCTGATACTCCCTTAACTTTGAGGGTTACTTTCTAATAGAAAGATATTTCATGTAGACTTCTTTTCCCCCTCTAAATCTTGTTTTTCTTCTCCTCTTCCATTAAAATAATTTCTGTGATTTTATCTTAAATTTCTTGTTTTTATTCCTCTATGAGATTGTGTCTACATGAGACACTTTCCATTTTAGACTGAATTTTACCAAGTTGTTCTTTACATCCAGTCTCTCTGTTTGGAATTTTTTTCACTTCTGTTTTGGAGACTCCTGGCTGTGCTCAGGGATTATTCCTTGCTCTGTGTTCAGGGGGTTACATCTACCTGTACTGCAGGAACCACACACGATTCTGGGATTGAACTGGGGATGGTTGGTTGCAAGGCAAACACCTTAACCCCTGTGCTATTTCTCCAGATCCTGGAACAATTTTAAAATTTGTATAGAACTTGCATAGTAAATTCTCATACTCTCTTGCTTCAAACTATATTATAAAGCAACAGTACTTTAAATTACTAGTAAAATTAATTACAAAGTAACTCGAGCAGTATACTACTGGAACAAAAACAGGCCAAGAGTCCAGTCTAGAACTCAACTGAGAAAGAAACATATAAACACATACAGACATCTAAGATAAAGGAATCATGTACATACACAGTACAGTGAGCGAGAGAGATAGTATAGGAGGTAAGGTGATTGCCTTGAACGCAGCAGACCCCAGTTCAAATCCCTGACACCATACATAGTCCCCTGAGTATCACCAGGTGTCACTCCTGAGCACTGCTGGGTGTGTGCTACCCCCTCCCCCTCAAACACAAACACACAGTTGAGTAAGGAAAGCCTTCAATAAGGGTGCTGGGAAAACTGGACTGCTAAAAAAAGAAAACTGATAACTATTTAACACTATACACAAAAATTTACTCCAAATATATTAAAGACTTAGATATCTGACCTGAAACCATAAAATATAAAGAAGAAAATATAGGTGATACACTGCAGATCTTCAGTATTGGAGATACTTTCAGAAACTCAATTCTTTTTTTTTTTGGCTTTTCGGGTCACATCCAGCGATGCTCAGGGGTTACTCCTGGTTCTGCACTCAGGAGTCACTCCTGGCAGTGCTGGGGGACCATATGGGATGCTGCAGATCGAACCCGGGTTGGCCGTGTGCAAGGCAAATGCTATCACTGCTGTACTATCACTCCGGCCCCCAGAAACTCAATTCTAAAGGCAAGGGAAAGGAGATCAGAAAGAAACAAATGGGAGGGCTGGAGAGATAGTACAGTGGGTAAGGAGCTTGCCTTGCATATAGCCAACCAAGGTTCAATCCGCAGCATCCCATATTGTCCCCTGAACTCCCCGGGAGTGCAGTGACTCCTGAATGCAGTTAGAGGTAACCCCTGAAGACTGCTGGGTGTGGTTCAAAAATTTAAAAAATAAACAAATGGGGGTGGGAGCAGAGATAGGACAGGTGGCAAGAAGCTTGCCTTACATGAAGCCAATCCAAGTTCAATTCCTAGCACTGCAAAAAGTCTTCCAAACACGTCCAGGAGTGATCCATGAACACAGAGGCAGGAGTAAGCCCTGAACACAGCCAGGTGTGGTCTAGACCACCACCAAAGAAACAAATGGTATGATTTCAAATTAAAAGGCTTTACATAGCCAAAGAAAATGCCACAAAAACAAAAAGGAAACCTAGCAATTGGGAAAAGATATTTACACATCATAAGACAGAGATGTGGTTAATAACCTAACTATATGAAGAACTCACACAATTTCCCAACAAATTATCAATCCACCCAGTTGAAATTGTCTATTCATAGGCAAAACACAACAGACAACTCTACAAAGGAGACATACAGATGACTCATAGACACACAAAAATATTCCATAAATTGTAATATTACAGAACTGATAATCAAACCTACAATGAGATATCACCTCACATCCACAAGGATGATGTAAACCAAAAAAGTTTGGATAGGACCAGGTATGTGCTTTGTATACGTAAGACTCTGGTTTTGATCTCTAGCATTATATGATCCTTTAGCACATTTGGTTGTGGCCCCCAAGCACCACCGGGTATCTGAAACAATACCATCAAAACAAAAAAAGGGAAGGGGGGGTACAGTGCTGCCGAGAAGGTCAACCTGTACCTGCGGGGCAAGTACTTCAGCAGCCTGATGGTGCTTTCAGGCTTCCTGATACCCTAAAATTGCCACTGTGCCTCTGGCTAGATCCCAACAACTTAGGACCAAATTTCCTGAGAAATTAAACGGCATAAGTTAATTATGTGGGAGTCATGCCACAAACCACCTCCAGCTCAGCTATACAAACCCATTATTGACCTTGTTTCAGAGACCCATAAACAAATCTCAAAAGAGATCAAAATAAGGCCATTTAAGCAAATTAACGGCCATGATTAAGAGATTCACAAATGAATCTCAGAAGAGAGCAGCATGCCACAGAGATGTCTCCCTACCCCATGCCAGGTTTATTTCACCGGGGCACTCAGAGGGGGCAGGTGTGTCTCTCTGCCTGCCCCAAATGAACTTGATAACCACAAACCTCCAGAACCTGATTGATTACCACCACCCTCAGGGCTGATCTTCACACGCTTGTCCTGGGCTCATCCCAAGCCTCCCCAACATGAGAATGAATCCACTAAAAAACCCAAGTATGCTGGACTAGTGACTGAAAACTCCAGACTTCATGGAGTCAGGGATGGGTGACTTCACCACATCTTCCTGCCCTTCCAGTTTTCTAGGTAGTCATACCCAAAAAAGCCACTGGGTGCCATTTAAGCTCATTAATGGTCATGATTGAGTGACTCATAATTGATTCTTGGAAGAGAGCAGCACTCACAAAGATATCTCTGGACCCCAAATACTTAAAAAAAAAAGTTTAGAATTTCAGGAGTGCACGATTGTCTTCACAGCCGCATGAGATATCATACTATTTATTCATAACAAGAAACACAAAATAAACTATTTAGCATCTGCCTATGGCACAGGTTTGGGGAGTGGTGGGAAAACTTGAAATAATGGTGGTGGGAAGGTGTAATGGTGGTGCAAGTGATGTTGAAATGTTGAATGTAAACAATTATTGTACACTTTATGAAAATAAAATTTAAAAATTAATTAAAAAAGATCAGAAGCAGGGATGTTGGCAGGGATGTTAAAAAAGGAATCTCTGTATATTCACTTTTGGTGAGAATGCACATTGGTGCAGATGCTATAGAAAATGGTATGGAGATTTTCTTAAAAAGTAAAATGGAAATTCTATATGATCAAGCAATATCATTCCTACGCATTTATCGAAAAGTTCTTTTTGATGGTGAGAGCAGTGATAATTACACAAAAATAGAGCTATGAAGTGAACCCCTAAAATTCCATAATACCGTAAACCAATGGTATATCAATTAACACACCAAAGACATATAAAGAATAAAGAACTTAAGGCTACTTTAGGAAGGTAAGGTTACTGACCAACCATTATGTAGTATGAGAAACCTGTATCATTAAAATGCCTGATGTGTCAAGGGTCATAAGGACAGCATTTAGGAAGGCACTAACTTCTCAATGCTATAAATGATAATTTCATTATGGAAACATTTATTGCTCAACAAATTGCCTATCTTCTGTGGTTATAGATAATTCCCTCAGAATGAAGATATTTAAGAAAAATAAAAGAATGATCAAACAAGTCTTTACCCCAATATTGAAGAGAGCACTAACGGGCTTATGGTCACTGGTTTTCAGTTCCATGTGACTCCGGTAGTGAAGCTGATTAACATTTGTTCCTCTCCAAAGAATTCGGTCACACCAGGCTGGAACTCGGCATTTTCCACTGTATATGAAAAAAGGAATTATAAAGAGAACATACCACACAAGAATTTTATACCTACCACAATGGTTAAGATCTGGGTCATGCTCTTTGGTTATATGCTTCTCATTTTCCAGTGATCTCAACTATTAAACTACCTCAGTGCATTAAAAGCTCTGTGAAAGGAACTATGTCTGCGCATCTGTCATGACTTTGGAACCCCTAGCACTGTTATCTGTTCAATAAAAAATTAGTATATATAGGTGTCCAATAAGGGGGCTTCTAAGATTGGGATTACATTTTCTTTTTTGTTTTATTTATTTATTTATTTATTTATTTATTTATTTATTTTGCTCCTTGGGTCATACCCAGCAATGCTCAGGGGTTACTCCTGACTCATGCACTCAGGAATTACTCCTGGCAGTGCTCGGGGACCAATGGGATGTTGAGAATTGAACCTGGGTCGGCCATGTGCAAAGCAAATGCCCTACCTGCTGTGCTATTGCTCCAGCCCTGGGATTAAATTTTCAATAATATTGCCATGGGGGAAGATATAGTGGCTGGCACCTTCTTAAAAGATCCTCAGAAGGTCATTATTATGTTATTGGGAGCACTTCTACTTCCTTTGCTCTACAAACTGTAACAATACTTTACAACAGAAACATAACTAATAAAATCTAAAAATCCTATATTCCTGGTGTGGGCTTAATTTCAAAAGATGACTAACAGTAGAGAATTATCCTTTAAACTCCTTTAAACTGGGGCTTTTTAGCTTTTTCTAATAGAGATAACTATCTAAGCAGGCAAACAGGAATATATAACCACAGAATACAAAGGGTAGGTGAAAGTCTATTAAAATGAGGAACACCAGTACAGATAAACCAGATGGTGATGCAAGTAAGTTCTTATCAATAGCTTTTTCGCTGACACTTAGTGGTGAGTGGAAGAAACAAGGAAAAGTACAGAAGACCTGTCAGTGTCTCTTCATTTGTTGACCAGTTCCCTTGGGCAAAGATAAAGACAACTCTCTCCATCCCAGTGCACTCTGAATCTAAAGAAGCTACACATATCCAGGGAGTCTCTTTCTTTTTAAGATTAAGGGCTCACCCAGCTACGAAACCACAAGAAACAAAGAGAATGTAGGTAGAAACTAAACAATTAATAGGAATACACTGAGAGGGGTCCTTTGCTGGATAACTGGGAAATCACAGGATCCTTTCAACGGTGGTACTCAGCTTCCTCCTGTAGTAGCAGAAGTCAGGCCCACGCATCAGTGATTTGTAAAGTCCCCTAAGAGACTCTAAGGTGTACTCAGGTCTGAGTACCACAGTGTTAAATCTCAAGGCTCTTTATTTTTACCTTCTGGTATCCTGTGTTAAATAGTTGAGAAACAGTTTGAAAAAAAGTCTGAACAGGGGGCAGGGAGACATCTCAAAGAGTTGGAGTGCATACCTTGCATCCACAAGGCCCTGAATCTAATCCCTGTTACTACATGGCCCCTCATGAACCAAAAGGAGTAACCACTGGAGACCCCCAAGCACCAGCAGGTTTGAACTGTCAGATCTACACAGCTGGACTGAGTATTGCCTAAGACCTGGGCCCCAAGCACTGTTGAGAGACACCGTCCCCTCCCCCCACAAAAACACATTTTTTAAAAGGAGCCAGAACAGAGCAAGAAAGTACAGAAATCTAAGCAAATTGGCCAGACTGGCCTTTATCCCATAGAAATATAGGTAGGCCATAAAATAAGAACCCTGACATAGAAGAAATACTTTCCTAATATAAACTTACATTTGAGTACTCATGAATTAAACCCTATTCTGTAATAGCACTAAGCCATTATCAGGTTTTTATATCTGTATATGGCACAGCCAAAAATTTTCTAGTCCTTCAATATGGAGGTACACAGAGAAGATCAGGCCTTAACTGATTTCATGAGAAGGTTCTCATAACTTTACCTGGAATCCCAACGGTCTGTTTTAGAATCATACTTATAAGTGGGAGCAAACTTGATTTCCCCTTCAACGAAGTCAACAAAAGCTTTTTTCTGAGTGCGTTGAATATTTAGCTAGAGATAGAAAGCAGCATCATTTAAGCAGGGTAGCACCATGTTAATATATGCGATAATCAGGTTGATCAGCAATTTCAAAGTATATAGCTCCATAGCCTTTGCAACTGTTAGGGTACGTAAGTAAATTCCACATCTCCCTAGTTAGTAGAGTATTGCTGGGAGTAGACCCTGGGTCCCCTGAGCTCTGCCTGGGAATGCCTCCAAAATTTCTAAACCTCATGAATTAAATCTTGCCTTTCCCTAAGTATTTAAACTCACCCTCAGATCAGATACTCAGTATGAGCACATCGCTAACCTTTTTATTGCTAAATGAAAGAACAAAAAGGGAAAACAAAATCTGGATAATAATAACTTCAGAAACTATACGGAACCATTTTAACTGTACTTAAAAAGACATAAAAGGCCAAGGGAGAAAATGAAAAAGGACAGGAATGCATTCTTTGCATTTAGAATCTCATGTTTGCTTGATCTCTAGCACCATATGGTCCCCTGAATACTGCCAAGATTGACCCTGAAGCAACCTGAGCTACCAGGTGTGCCCCCATCAAAATACACAATTTTTGAATGGGTAACTTAAAAATCCAATAATCTGAATACCTTATTTGATAATTCCAAATTTAGTATATAGTTACAAATATCCTGAAAGTTATTTTCACTAAAAAATTTTATGAGAACCACATAAGGCCCAGAATTTGTTCCAACTTTATTCCCTTTGGAGGCAAGGCAGAGGAAGAAATTAGCTAGCTAGCCTTGATGGAAAAAAAACACAGCCAACAAAGTTTCACAAACCACTTGGATTTTGACTGTTTGAATGTTAAAAAGTCTCAGATAAGGATAGAAAAACACTCAAAGAAAGACATTCCCCCCAAGTCAAAAAAGTTCCTTCCCTCAATAAGAAGCATTTACTCTTAGCAGCTGGTCTCCACATAGTGAACTAACAATTCAAGACATGTGCCAAGCTTCTTAGCAAATTTACAGAAAAACCAGGACCATGGATATAAATGTTACCAAATCCATGCTTCCCCCCAGGTTCTAACATATATATATATATATATATATATATATATATATATATATATACACACCAGCTCGTTTTAACTTCTCGGTCAGTTCCCATTAGACCATAACTGATGCTATCTGTCAGAGACAAATATCTTCTTTACTTCCCAATCCCCTCACAGGGCCTCCCCTCTTTTACCTCCAAGCTACTGCAGAGCCTGCCAAGAGATCATAGAAGCAGCTTTCCCTGTTCCGTTTGCCAAACCACATCAACAGAGCTGAATGCCCACTTCCTCCAGGAAGTGTTTTCCAATTAACCCCACCGGTCCTCCAATTTATTTAAACAAATCTCTAAAATCTCTTCTTGATAAAGGCTTAATGAATAAACATCATATTACTTTTAGTCACTAATGTTATCTCCCCTCTTCCCACCAGGCACTTTAATATAAACACTACAAACCTGGTATAAGTAAGCTCACCACCATCCACTACCAACATTGTTTTCCCAAGATCTACTTTCAGTAAAACACACTCCCAGGTATCTATCTCATAAGTCTAACCGTCTTACCTGCTATCTAGGGAAGTACCTATCAAATGAAAAATCTACTTACCTGGTCAAATTTCAAGAGTCTCTGAAGGTCATTCTTGTTAATAAAACTCTTCACTTCATTGGCGTCTGGCATGCACAGTCTGTAGTTCAAATCTCCCAGCCAGATGACAACACTGAGGATCAAGAGATATATGAACAGAACTAGTAATGTCTGGCATAAAAATCAATCAGAGAAGAATGAAGAGAAGAAAAGTGGAGAGATTACTGGTAGAGACCCATTTATCACTATTTGACAAGGGTAAGCTCCAACTATCCTTTACGGACAAGTGTTATCAACACCTGAAAGGGACAAGGGATTACAAAACAGACAGGACGGATAGGCTCCCTACACAGAGAACAAGACTGAGAGCAACAGTATTAGCTTGCAGTATTATTCAGAAGTCAAGGAGTTAACTGTCTGAGAGAAGCTGTAGTTTATTTGCTGGACTGGCGTCAAAATTTTTCCTGGCTGCCTGCCAGGTCTCCAGGGAAAGAGAATCTGCATGTTTTCTGCCTCCCTGAGTCCTGATGTTCGGCAGGCTCTCCGCTCAAGTCTGCATCGTCTAAATGACATCTCTCCCAGGCAGGGCCCACCAGGGCTCTCCACGGTGGCCAGTCTATCTACCCTTGCCCCCCTTTCACTGTCCAAGTGCCTGGCAGGAGACAACTTACATACCATGGGATCCTCATGCTCTGGGATCTAGAAACAGGTCCCTAGATATGTGGAGAACCCCACCACAGATGAAACTGAATTAACTACACGCACATGGATTTTTCCTATGAGCTACCTAAAGTTCTCAATGGGTCTCTTTGCCAGCTGTAAATGCAACATAACATTTCTGGAATCCTGAGGAAATAACTTTAAAGAATTTCAGACTCTGTGACCAATACAGTCATGGCCTTGACTTTACCACTGTGAAATAATTCATTTTGACGCTAATTACTGAGACAACATGAAAACAGCTCAATATCATTAGTCTCCCCTGCATTCTCTTCAATTATCCTGCTCTCCACTGATTCTAATACCTTTATATTATCTTTAGTTTTTCTAAGAAATCCCATCTCAAATTTCAAATCACATCACCCTCTCTCAGAATTCAATTACCAGTATTAATTTCTTTACAAAAAATCATTTTCTACCACCTGATCCATTTCTCAACTGATTGCTTCTACCCTTATTAAGTCCCACTCTTTACTGACCTTTCTTTTCTATTATCCTATCGATCCTCTGTGTCTTTACTTCCCCTATTCTTAATACAGTCATTACAAAGAATAATGTAGGTCTACAGGTAGAGAGATAGTACAGTTGGTAGAGTGCTTCCCTTGCTCGCTTGCTTCCCTTGGACCTGGGTTCCATCCCTAGCACCCCTGTGGTCTTCAGGTCCTGCTAAGAGTGATCCCTGGGTGCCGAGTCAGGAGTAAACCCTAAACACCACCAGGTGCAGTCCGCAAACCAAGCAAACAGGGCTGAAGCAATAGTACAAAGGATAGGGTGCTTGCCTTGCACACAGCAACCAGGGTTCAATCCCCAGCACTCCATTTGGTCCCCTGAGCCCCTCTGGGAGTAATTCCTAAGCACAACACCAGCACAACACCATAATGTAGACCTATATATGCTGGCTTGGAAAGAGATCCTACATAAAGAGAATAAATATATTCTTATCTAACAAGAAAATGTGTATTAAAATTTGCATAGTCTATAGTAGCATCAGGGCTGGAGCGATAGCACACCGGGCAGGGCGTTTGCCTTGCATGCGGCCGACCTGGCTAACCCCAGTTCGATTCTTCCACCCCGCTCAGAGAGCGCAGCAAGTTACCAAGAGTATCTCGCCCGCATGGCAAAGCCTGGCAAGCTACCTGTGACGTTTTTGATATGCCAAACACAGTAACAAGTGTCATAATGGAGATGTTACTGGGCCCGCTTGAGCAAATCGATGAACAACGGGAGTGACAGTGATAGTAGCATCATTCACAAGAAATACAACATACATCAAAAGTTTCTAGTAACAAAATTTAAAAGGTAACAGAAACAAGTAAAAATAACTTTAACAGTAAAATTCATTTAACTATCCATATGGCTTTAAGGCATAATTATATTTTAAAATCTAGCTATTTCCCCAAATAGCTATTTCCCCAGGAGCGATATTACAGTGAACAGGGCATTTGCCTTCCACGCAGCTGACCCGAGTTCAATCCCCGGCATCCCATATGGTCCCCTGAGCACTGCCAGGAGTGAATCCTGAGTGCAGAACCAGGAGTAACCCCTGAGCATCGCCAGGTGTGACCAAAAAAGACAAAATAAGTAAATAATTTTAAAATACAAATAAAAATCTAGCTATTTTACATATTTTCTACTAAATCTCTGAAATTCAGTGTATGATTGCTTTTTGGAGGCCACACTGGTGGTGCTCAGGGGTTATGAGGTGCTGAGGGTCGAACCAGGCAGGGTTGGTTACATACAAGGAAAGCACCCGACCTGCTACACTACTGCTCTGGCCCCATTAGTGTATAATTTTTCGCACAGCATATGAAATCTAATTTCTTTGCCCCAATAAATCCACTATTCCTCAAACACTTGAGCCAGAGAGTTAGTACATAGGATAAGGTGCTTGCCTAGCATGTGTTTTGGCTGCAATCCTGGTTCAAATCGTGGTGCTGCATGTGGTTCTGAATACAGAGCCAGGAGTGCTTCCTGAGCACTGTGGGGTATTGAGCAACAAACAAACAAAAAAACACTCCCAACTTCTCTTATGGAATGAGATCACAAAGAAGAGAGGTTTTACTCTTCATAATTTCTTTCATATTTCAACAGTTCTCACATTTAAACTCTTCTAGAACTTAAACACTCACTCATGTTTCATGATGTTCAGCTGTGGAGCAGTTGGATTTGGGCCCACTGGGTTTGGGACTATGAAGCTCATTCGTGCACAAATGTCCTTATAATCTTGATTCCTCCTCTCAAAGTCCTCCACATGGGCAGCCAGGTGGGAATTGACAATGCAAAAGGTTGTGTTGTAAAAAACGAATCTCACAGCTACTCCACCTTTGTTCCCCTGTTACCAAGAGTGATTATTCAGTCAGTACAAATGCACGATGAGCAACTGAACACAAATGGACACGACAATCAAGCTCACTTCCCAAGAAGCTCACCATTTTCCCCATGATTCCAGTTCCAACTGTTTCTGCAGCAACATCACGGATATATTGATACTGATCCTTCTTGGCAAATATCAGGAGCATCATCCCAACAAGGCGGACTAGCTGGACCTAATAGTCCCAGGGAATTAGAAGAGGTTCAAGTCAATACTCTCTCTGCCACATATCTAGTTTCCTATAATTTTTTCAACAGGAAGAAATGAAGTAATGGTGCCCAAATCTGAATGTAAATCCCAATTTCCCAGTGGGCTCCCTATAAGGAAGAAACAGTTTCTCTGGGAAGTTCTAATGTGGCTCTAACCAATTAGTTAAAAATCTTTGGGGACAACAGCACATTTGGTTCTAATCCATTATTGTCATCACTTTTTAGCCTACCAGGAGAAAGCAACATTAAAAATTCAAATAAGAAACATAATGCCTGTAGTCCAGCTTGTTCCATTTGTTTCTCCTTACTTTTCGATTTTCAATTTTCTAAGGAATTAAAATACATACAGTGGCAATCCTATATACTTTGATTATTTTAATCTGCAAGCAATAGCTAGATATATGTCTGAAATATTTATTAGTCAAAACCTGTTTGAGAAAAATTACATCTTTAGGAGTCTTATTACCTATACCAACAAGCTATTAATAAAAATTCTCAGAGGATTCCTAATAAAAGACTTAGTATGCTAGCCATGTAATTAAAATAACTCTTCTAGTAGCCTCGGCCACATGTCTTTCTAAAGACCGAGTTAGCATACCTTGCTAAAGTGAACTCCTGACTTACAATTAAACTTATAACTCACTTCAGTTACACAACACTTTTATTATTGCTCTGATTCCAAGGCTTATCCATCAAATTAAAAAAAATCAACAAACTCCAAACTGCCTATCTATAAACCATGTCAGTGAATAACTTTAACCTGAAACTTACTACACAAACTATCTTGTATGCAATTATTTTTAGTTTCTTATTGTAATAAAAAGACTAAAATTCATTTCACCCTAAAAAGTTGTCTAAGTAATAAAAACAAAAGATCAGAAAACTTAGGGAATTTTATCCCCATGAAACAGGCATAAAGGATTAGTCTGTCCTATTCCGGTATTACACGTGGAAAATAATTCATGGAAATGGTTCTTTTGGAACAAACTGTAGATAACAGAATAACTTTCAAGTGCAGTTTGATTTAGTCGTGTACTAAAAAGGAGGGGGGTTACTGGCAGTGGGTATGGTGTTAAAGATGTACCTCTAAATCAGAGGCTCACAAATTTATTTGGCCTACTATCCCGTTCAGAAAAAGAAAAATCACAGAACCCTCCTAGAAATAACTTTCTTTATTTCATTTCATCATCCTGTTATTCGTCGATTGCCTCGAGCAGGCCCCAGTAACGTCTCTTTCATCCTAGCCCTGAGATTATATTCAAGGCTATTTAGGAGAATGAGACCCATCATTGTTACTGGTATTTGGCATATTTGGTACACCACGGGGAGTTTGCCAGACTCTGCCCTGTGGGCAGGCTACATTTCTTTAAGAGAAAAAAAATAACAAAAAGTGTCCCCCAAAGGCACCAATGCTACTACTGCCCCCTGGATTATTCCAGCATCCCCACTGGGTGAAATCACCCACTTTGGGAACCACTGCTGTAAAGCATATAAACATTTACAATCTTGTAAAGTAATATTACTGCAAAAGAAAGGAAGGGAGGGACAGAGAGAGGGAGGAAAGAAGAAAGCGAGGAAGAGAGGGAGGGAGGGAGGAAAGGGAGGAAGGAAGGAAGGAAAGGAGGGAGGGAGGGAGGGAGGGAGGGAGGGAGGGAGGGAGGGAGGGAGAGAGGGAGGATGGAAGAATGGTAGGTAGGTAGGAAGGAAGGAAGAGAGAGAGGGAGGAAGGAAAGAAGACAAAGGTGAGAAAAATGAAAAAAATCTTACAGCTTAAAATCTAAAAGGACAGGGGCTGGAGCAATAATACAGCGGGTAGGGTGCTTGTCTTGCACGAGGCCGACCCGGGTTCCATCCCCAGCAGCACATATGGTCCTCCAAGCCCCGCAGGAGTAATCCCTGAGTGCAGAGCCAAGAGTAAGCCCAGATCACCGCCAGGTGTCATCCCCCCAAACCAAAAAAGAAACAAATTAATAAATCTAAAAGGACTTCCAAGATAAGAAAGCACAGGGTTGAAGGAGTACATGCAAAACATGAGTACACGCTCCTCAAGCATGGCCAGGTATAGACTTGGAGGCCTCCAAGCATGGCCGTCTATGGCCCAAGTGATCCCTGGCATTGCAAGGCCCGATCACAGCTACATATACTCTAGCCCTAGCACTGAACCTCTGGTAGGCTGAGTATCAGCAAAAGTGGCCTCCAGGTTCCCTGAGCACTGCCTGGGAGCACCTTCAAAACCAGATAATTAATTGAGGCTTACTTTCTTATACTTGGCTTTAACATGCAAGCCCCTCTCTACAGCCATGGTCCACTCCTGTTCTTTCACAGAGTCAAAGTAGAAAAAGGCTTCTGTACTCAAGTCCAGCTCCTGGAATCTGAGAAAATATGAAGAGGTGAGAGCTGTATATATTCCATTATCATCTTTTGAATACCTGTGTCATTTTCTGAGTTGAAAACAGAAAGAAAAATTTCAAACAATTTTTATGAAACTGCTCTGTTGACCCAGGTGATCAATAAGGACAAGGCACTTTCCTTCAAAAAGACTCCCCAGCAGTCTACTCATAAACTATGCAAACTTATAAACATAAAAGCTTCTATGAAGGACAACAGTAGAGTTTTGCTCACATATCCCACAAATTCTCATTGTTAGAAGTGATCTTATGTCTTGGTTTGTATGACAGGACAAACACAGTTTTCTGCGGATTTTCAAGAGTATGTTTTCAAGAGGACTAGATGCTTTCTAACACTATTTAAAGTATCTGTTCCTGTCTGATCTCACAAATTTGATCCTCACCAATTTCACCCACAACTTAACTCCCATAGGTAGTTTACATTAGCTTCCTACTGAAGAGTTTAAAAGAGTGAAAGTAGAATGTCATGTAAATTAACACCAAACATATAGCCCAAAGTAAATTCCAGATGTGTTCTTTACCCAATGCAGTAGATATCAGGAGGAGTCGGATCACAGTTCAGCCAAGGTTCTAACCCACTATCTGGAGACTGGCCATTCACGTTCCAAGTTCCAACAAAAAATCTAATACATAATATCAAGAAATAACTTGAAAACAAGTGTCAGTTATGAATCAAAAGAAATTCTCTTATCACATCTACAAAAGAGTTATGGTTACAGTAAGCCAACATAATTCTTCAAAATGTTTTGCCAAATACATATGTAAAAATTCTAGAATATAAAACACCAGGCAGAGGGTTTATTTTCAGTTAATTTTATATCCAGTGAACCTTTAGCAAAGAACCAAGTCTTTATTCAAAAATAACAGTTAATTGCTCTACCACTTTCTTTTCAATTAAACTCCATAGAAACTCATACTTGAAAGGACAGCTTGCATTAGGATAGAGGTATCTTCAGGCTGTAAGTGCATTTAACATGGAAAAATGTTCCATAAGAAACTGTAGTGAATTTCATTTCCCTCAAGGATTACAAGGACATCGGTATAGCAAATTTGTTGAAGCAGATATAGTATGAAGGGGGCAAACAGAAGAGAAAATTCATGACAGCCTTTGCTGTTTACATACAAATATAAGCATCATAAAGGAACATGGGGAGCCGGAGTTTTTAACACAGGGTAAAAGTTTTGACTGAATTGGTATAACAGAGGCATGTATACCAATAAGTCTCATACCAAGTGAGACTGGAATCTTGGATTAGAAAGGTACATAAAGAAGTACAATAGAAGGGTTCAGGAATGACAAAGAGACATGCTGGCTTTCATTTATTCATTTATTTGCACATCAGGAGTACATGCCATGCCATGCCACATAAATTTAGTCCAGAAAAGTGAACATCAACAAGGTGAATTGAAAATTCATACAGAAGAAAAAAAGTATGGCTGACCTCTAGTCAAGAGGACTGGGTAAAACTTTTAATTTACCAAGTAACTAAGTTAAGTAACTAAATTAAGGGGCTCATAATGGTGGGTTTTAATTTTCCAGTATTGAAAGGGCAAAACAACTCACCAAGTCAGAGAGATTTGACACACTTGCTTATGGCATGTGATAGGGAACAATTCTCTAGTACATGTGAATTTGATTGGGTATGCCAAGAGTAGACAGAAATGTTAGCAGAATGGTATCATTAATAGTTAGAAAACCCAAAGGAGGGGTCTTTGCAATTGCAATAGAGGGCAGGGAGCTTGCCTTGTGTGTAGCCAACCCAGATTTGATTTCCAGCACCCGATATGGTCCCCCAAGCCCTGCCAGGAGTGATCCCTGAGCACAGAAACAGGAGTAATCCCTGTGCATTGCTGAGTATGACCCAAAAGCAAAAAAAGGGGAAAAAACAAAGTAGCATTTGCGTTATTTTGGATAATACACACACATCTCTCTAATATATCTAATAAATATATAAATAATAAATATAATATATCTAATATATGATCAACACAAGGGACAGGGGTTGAATCAGCTGATATTTCTTTTTATTATGCTTGAATTCTTTTTATTTTACCAGGAATCTAACCCAGAGACTCACAAACATAAAGCAAGTGCTCAACTGCTGAGCCATATCCTTGGCGCCTTATGCTTTGATTCTTAATTAAGCGAACTCTTACATGGCGAAAAGGCTTTTGCTATACCTGCTAATTTTTAACTCCAGTAGAGACAAGAGAGACTGACTAACCTGAAAGTCTGAAGGTTGACATATTCTTTCTCTCGCTTTGCCAGGATATGTTTGATGATACCTTCCCGCTGGACGGAAGGGGAAGTATTAGTATTAGGTGTAAAGAGCTTCCGCATGGTGTTGGTCACTTTAGGCTGTTCCTTGCTAGATGTTTCTTTTTCACGTGGAAGCCTATTAAATCAATAAGGAATTTATAAGTGAAATTGCTTTAAAAATGAAAATCTTCTATAGAAGAAGTATGTCTTGACAGAGGACTTACATTCTACCCATGGAATGGGGTGGTGGTGGTGGTTCCCGATGAATCCCCGGAGGATGATTTTGTGAACTTATTTTCTTGTCCAAATTCATGGAGGCAAAGTTATCCTCAAATCCAAGAAGCCCTAAATAGTACAGAATTGGAGTTAGAAGGATGGGGAAAGTACATACAAACATATCAAGTCTAAATAGGACTTTGCTCTTGACTGGTAGTTGATTGATCAGTGGCATTACTAAATAGGTATTATTTATTACTAAATAGATGAGTGAAAGTTTCTGACTTAAAATAATTTGTATAATCTTATCTGTCCAAATACAATCAATGTATTCTGCCAAGATTATGCAACCAGGACAAAAAGAATTCCTTGAGTACCTGTAATATCAGATGACTGGTCTTTAGTATCTAATTTCTGATACCAGCTGGATGAATCCTTTTGCTCTGGAATAAGAAGTTTTGACTGAGCTGGAAAGATAAAGGTCATGATTAGAAACTGGGTGTCCTTTAAGTGGAATAACCAAAAGTAACTCATTCAGCACTCCTTAAATGCAGTGGACAGAACCCTTCTTGAAAAAGAGGGATACGGAGGATGTGGCTAAGAAAATAAGGGCTATTCTGGGATAATCTGGGAGTAAAAGATTGACGACCTACAGTAAACAGTCCATGCTATGACTGAAGATTCTGTAAAATGGCTCAGCGCCCCTAAAGCTGAAGAGTCAGTCTTATTCCCTAATTTATTCCAGGGCTCACTATTAAAGAGAAAAAGATCACCTGCCAAGTCTCAGGGGTGAGGTATTTTGCTAAAGGACACTTTTGCCTCTGTCTACAAGTTAGAAACTTATTTCCATTCAAATAGTAGAAAGAAATCTGCCGAATCTTGAGTTACCTTCCTGAGCAGCGAAGACATCTGAGAGAAACTTTAAACAGTGCTCCTCATCGGGAATTTCAAAGCGGCGCTCTCTGGTCCAGGCCCCCTGAACTCGAATTTTGCAGCCGCCTAAAAAGTAATTGAAATCCATATACATTTAGCTATGGAATACAACGTTTTCTTGGGATGACAGTTTCAACTTACCAGTTTAATAGAAGGTGCAGATCACAATTATTTTAGATCTCTAACACAGGAGATACATGTACAAGATGGAGGGATTTGGTGTGGTGGTGGTGGTGGAAATGTTGTAGGGAGGAAAATTTAAGGAACTGGTAAGCTGTGTAAATTAACAGTCGAACCTTGTGATCACTGTCACTGTCACTGTCATCCTGTTGTTCATCGATTTGCTCGAGTGGGCGCCAGTAATGTCTCCATTCGTCCTAGCCCTAAGATTTTAGCAGCGTCTCTTTACTCATCCTTCCCAATGGTGCCGCATTGGAGGTTCTTTCAGAGTCAGGGGAATGAGACCCATTATTGTTACTGTTTTTGGCATTATCGAATATGCCACAAGGAGCTTGCCAGGCTCTGCAGTGGGGACAGGATACTCTCGGTATACTAAAATCATACTTCAGCCATAGACACCAATATTCTGCTTAATCTCTCAGGCATTAATGGAGGGACCTCCAAATTCCAACAAAAGATTATTTCCCCAACTACCCTCCTGTCTACAAGTTAGATTCCTTCCATTTCCAATCTACAGCATAATATTCCTGTGAAGCATGCGAGGAATAAAGGCAGCTGGATGGTTTGTTCCAGGATACAGAGTGTAGCAGGCAAAGTGAATGTGTAAATTAAATACAAAGAAAGGAATGATAGTTTGGCCTGAATTGTCCTGAAAAAAGAACCTATATTGCATTATCGCAAGAGGAAAATGTATGTCTTAAACTTAGAAAAGGAATATCATCACGACATCCGAGAATACTCAGATTCAAGAACAGCCAACTGAAAATAGTCTAATGAGAAGCAAAGCTATCTAGGACTTTAGGTTCAATACATGTACCATAATATCTCTTTTTCTGATATTCAGTAATTACCTATCAATCAACTAGATATAGTGACCCAGGAATTCCAGGTGTTTGTTTATGTTATTAATTTAACTGATGCATTACATATATTCTCATGCCCCTGGAAGTGGCAAGTTTTCTGAGAGCAGAAACAGGCTGCGTATATAGTTTCTCCAACACGCCACTTTGAAAAGTCTCACAGAATTGCATGGGATCAAAGGACTTCCCAGAACTTTCAAAGTTAGGACTGGGAAAATTCCAGGCAAACTGGGAGAGCTGGACACTCCACTACTACCAATGATGTCAGACTTCAGAGAAAGAGGCAGTTAAAAAAATGACTGTTGGACTAGACTCCACATTTGTAAATAAATAGATGGGGAAACAAAATGAAAACACTAGCTTCTTATAGCAGAAATCCATTCCTGAGCCTTTTACTCTCTTTCAATTTTATTTCTGTAAATTTCTATGCAATTCTTACTTTCATATGTATTCCTGGAAGTTTCTGGAGGTTCAGTGATCCGAAGAAGAGATAAAAATAGAAAAAAAAAGGCGCCCAAGTAGAGCATGAATAAGAAAATTAACAAGGGTGCTACTAGAAAGAAGATGGGTGGGTGAAAGGCAATGAATAAAAAAATGTCAATTAGCAGCCACTACATCCAACCTCCTCTGACATACAAAATGCGTAGCTCTATAACTAATCTGTAAAGCTGCCAAGCCTCTGGATTGTCCCATGTAGATGGATCTCTGGGATGAAAACTTTGAGGCCTTTCAGGAATAGGGTTAGGCATAACACCTCCCCCATCCAGAGTGGCCCAGCCACCACAGCCAACAGCCTTTGACATATAAACGGCCCAGATCCACAACTTCTGGAGTGTGAGGCCACATATGTGGCCTTTAAACGCTTCCTCCATATTTCACAGTAGGACCACAGAAAATTTGATGGGAAAATTGGGAAGAAGCCCACCAAGTTCAATGAGTGAAAACAATACCATAACAGGCTCAACTAGTACCAACTATCTTAGTAAATCCTCAATGAGTTTAGTCACATCATTGTGAGATAACAATTACCACAAACTGACTTTTAAACAAATCTTTTATTAGTGAAACAGCATGAGGTACAGTTATAGACATACAAATTTTGTGCTTGGGTTTCAGTTATACAATGATTGAGTACCCATCCCTCCACCTCCAATGCTCCGAGTATCCCTCCCACCCGCATCCCCACATCCCACCCCACCCCTGTGGCAGGGCATTCCCTTTTGTTTTCTCTCTCCTTTTGTGTGCTGTGGTTTGCAAAAGAGGCATTGAGTGGCAATCATGTTTGGTCTATAGTCCACTTTCAGCATGCATCTCTCATCCTGGGAGGGTCCTCCCAAAACCCTTTATTTGGTGCTCCCTTCTCTGAGCTGCCTTTTCCCCCAGCATGAGTGGCTGGCCTTCAATTCATGGAGTGAACCTCCTGGTACTTATCTCAGCTATTCTTGGGTGTTAAGTCTCCTATTTTGTTACTTTATATACCCCAGATGAATGCAATCTTTCTATGTCTGTCCCTCTCTTTCTGACTCATTTCACCCAGCATGGTACTTTCCATGTAGTATCACTTGTATGTAAATTTCATGACTTCATCTTTTCTAACAGCTGCATAGTACTCCATTGTGTGGATGTACCAAATTCATCTATTTTCTCATAGTTTCATTTGCCATTTTGTTGTAATAATCAATATGAAGTAAATTTATCTGTGCTTCATAAAGGGGCAGTCTTGGGGGTCGGGAAATTGGGGATCCTGGTGGAGGGAAGGTCACACTGGTGGTGGAAATGGTATTGGAACATTGAGTGCCTGAATGCCTGAAACAACTGTATTATGAACAACTTTGTAAATCACAGTGCTTAAATTAAAAACAAACAAATGAACTTTAAAAATGTCAATTAGGAGAAATTTCGCTGATAGAGGGAAATATTCCTTTGGGTACAAGCTGTTCTTACATTTACATTTAATAATTTATATTAAAAGAATTTTTTTAAAAAGAAACTACAAGAGGGGAAAGGGTGTTCGTCTCTTCCGCCTTCTCCCCTCTGGAAAGAAAGATGGCAGCCGCTTGGGAGCCTTGTGGAAAGCCAGGTATGAGCCGGTGGTGACGCGGCGACTAAAACCTCATGGGAAGGGCGTTCCCGGCTCATCCTTCATGCCCTACCGAGGTCACCAGTTGCCCCCCACAAGCAGCTCTCCAGCACGGCCATGGCTGCAGAGCACAGAAACCAATCTCTTAATTATCTGACTCTCAGTAGAAATACTTCCATGGTTAATAAGTAAAATAGCAGAAATCCAAAACCGCGCAGTCGCAATAGCGGCTGCACGACATCATTTAATTCTTGAACCCAGCTATAGAAAGCAAATCATTTCACGATGCTTTCTCAGCATGTCTTATTTGGGGGGGGGGTAAACTCTAAATAATAATGGTGCATCTTTTATTGAAACAATGAATCTAGTCAAAGTAGATAGAGTGTTAACTAGAATTCATCTGCCTCACAGGCATTGGGAGGGGTGGGAGGTGGGGGTTTATTGGGGTTCTTCGTGGTGAAAAATAAGTATTGGTAAAGGGAAATGTGTTTGATATTTGCATGACTGAGACCTAAACCTGAAAGCTTTGTAACTTTTCCCACAGTGATTCAATAAATGAATAAATTATAAAAAAAAGAGAGAAAAAAACTACAAAAAAAGAAACTACAAGAAATGTAGAGAAAAAACACATTTTCTCCTACAATTACTAAAAGATATATCTTAGCAAACATTAAAATAAATTTACACACAAGTGGTACTACATGGAAAGTATCATGGTAAGCAAAGTGAGTCAGTATAGTAGAGGTATAAAATGCTGAAAGTAGACTATAAACCGAACATGACTGCCACTCAATGCTTCTTTTGCAAACCACAGCACCCAAAAGGAGAGAGAGAACAAAAGGGAATGCTCTGCCACGGAGGCAGGGTGGGATGGGAGTGATGGGAGTGGGAGGGATACTGGGATCAGTGGTGGTGGAGAATGGACACTGGTGGAGGGATGGGTACTCTATCATTGTATAACTGAAACCCAAGCACAAAAATCTGTAAGTCTACAACTGCACTTCATGGTGTTTCACTAATAAAAATTTAAAAAAAAGTGAATCACAAAAAATAAGAAAAAATAACTGAACCATTTATTGGATAGAAGATTCTACAAACTGTTTACCCAAGTAACAATTAGGTACTTGCTCATCATGTTGCATGCAAAACCATTTTTCTAAGACTCAGACTTCTACTCTCCTGCCTCCCAAAACATTTCCACTTCAAATTCTAGCCACAACATCTAGAAACATTCCAGAAGTTCTCTCAGTCCTTACCTGTGGTGCCTTAGAATTATCAGAGGTGCTTTTAGAAAATATTAACACATGAGTCCCATTCCAGACCTATAAAAAAGAACAGCTGGGGATGAAGCCCAAGCATTGGTAGTTTTTAAAACAGTCCTTGGGTGATTTGAAAGTGCACCCAGATTGAAAATCAGAGTTACAAGGATTCTGACTGGTCCCTGAGAGTCGCACTCCCTCTGCAGCTGTTTGGAGTGGAGGCTGTTTATAGTCTATCACATCCGATATAATTTAAGGCTGGTGTCCTTATTTAATACATCTCCAGACAGTCCCTCTCTTCCCTCAGAAAAATTCCTTCCTCTTTTGATGCTTGCTCATTGAATGTCCTAGAAACTTCTGACACCAGGATTCAATAAATTAATTCCTAAAGACTTTCTATCCACTCAACAATTGAACCTTAATTTTTTATCCCTGTAAAATTTACACCGAAATCCCAACTTTCAACTTTAGCTCAGTCACCTACTCTCTCTGTCTCTACTAGGGATTTCATCAATTATTCCCCGTAGCTGTCATCATAGAAATATTACCAGCTCCAAAATCTCTAATTCAAATATCCCATTCTCACTTGCTATTCCTTCCAGTTTACTTTCTCATATGGGAACCTCTAGCCCATTGATTCTTCCACTTTCTTAGAAACCATTAACTTCTTCCTGCTTTCACTTTCCT